GTTGAGAACCTTAAAACCTTTTTGACAATTATTTGTTTGATGATCTTTGGTGGAGTTGGTTAGCAGTGGCTGATACTTCCACCTGGAAGAACAGAATTATTGTAGAGTGGATGCTGCCTTAGGAGGATGTTATGAAGCTGAACTTTGATGGGAGTAGTTGGGGTAAATCAGGACCTTTGGGCATAGGAGGGTTTCTGAGAAATAAGGACAACAGAATCATATCCTTATTTCAGGCCTGGTGGGAATAGGAGACTCTACAAGGGCTGGGATACTAACTGCTGTACAGGGAATCCAGTTTGCAAATCAGATAGGGGTAGAGCATTTGCTAATTGAAGGTGACTCTCAGCTGAACCTGGATTATATAATTTGGGGCTATAGAGACCTCCTGAAAAAAGTTAAATGGTTAACAAGGAACATGATAGCGAGTTCAATGGGTGGGTAGATTAGAAAATGTGATGGCTGATTCACTTGCTATACAAGGGGCTTCTCAGGATTCTTTATTCTGGGATACTTTGTAATTCATGCTATAGTTGAGCTTGAGAAACTGTGATCAGTCTTAAAGGAGAGGTCTTATCTCGTTCCTTGGGTTGCTTGTAGCTCTTTATCCTTTTGGCTAATAAGTTTTTGTTCGTTCATCAATAAAAGTGCTTGAAGTAGGGGAGATTGGTTAGGGAGTTAGGGGGGATGTCGAAGAGCAAGTGGATAAGGAGGGAGAAGAAGCAGCAGGGCGTTGAATGTGGTGAACAGAAAAGTGGACATTGAGAACATAGTTGGAAGGCATGTGGAGGTTGGAAAATCCCTTGGTCTCTTTTTTCTGGGAGGGGAAGAGGTGGTTAGGAGAGCATTTGAACATTTTGAAAGGGTAAGAAGTGAGGAAAGTGAAAAGAAGAGAGCTTTAGGGGAAGGGGGTGAAACAAGGATGAAGCTGCTGAGTTGGAATGTCAGGGATTTAATGGAGGAGAGGAGGGCAGTGGTGTGCAATATGAGAAAATTCAGGCCGGATGTGGTACTGCTTCAGAAAACATGGGCTATAGCATCTTGTTCCTCTAGCTTAGTAGTGCTTCTCTTTCAATTTTCAGTTTATTTGCATTAGTAGGTAGGAAGTTATTATCTTTCTTGATGCACAAAACAAGGAGTGGCTTTTTTGTTATTATGGTGAACAGTATTCCGGGCCACACAAGTCACTCTATAAATAGATGTATTCTCTTCCTTTTGAAGCTAATGAAGATTTCTTTACAGCTCTCTTGCAAGTTTGCTGTATGGAGTGATTCCTACAAACCCTCGAGTGATTCCTTGGGATTTATCTCTCTTTTCTCTTTCTCTATCCTTTCTCTCTCTCTTCATCTCTCTGTCTTGTGATAGTTTGTTCCAGCCCTATTGCATCAGGTTCCTTATGGGGGATGGTGTTAGGATAAGGTTTTAGGAAGATGGGTGGTCTGGGGTTGGGAAGTTGAATGAGTTATGTCCAAGACTGTATAGACTGTCTGATCATGAGATTTCCATAAGCCGGTGGTATGAGAGACTTGGGGAGCAGCTGATTTGGTGCCCAAAATTTAGGAGATGATTGCTTGAGGTGGAGCTTGATGAAGCTGGAGAAGTTGGAAAAAGTTGGATTTCAGATCAGTCAAGAGATGAGCTGTGGTGGAAAGAATGCTCTAATGGTAAATTTTCTGTTAAGTCATTTTATGCAGCGGCATTGGCATGCCTTATTGTTATGGAAAGTGTTTTGACAATTGATCATCTCAAGGGCAGAGGTTTCAGCATGGCTAGCATTTGTTACTTGTGCAAGGAGCAAGAGGAGTGTGTCAGCCATTTATTTATTTGGTGCAATGTGGCTGGTTTCATCTGGAAATTATTTTCAGCCTTATTTGGGGTGAGATACAGTCAATCTAGTTCTCCTTACAAATATTTTCTGCCTGGCCAAGAATCAGAGGGATCAAGAAGGCTAGATTGCTCTGGTGTTGCATCCTGTTTGTTGTTTGTTGGTGCATCTAGAAGGAAAAAGGAATAGGTGTTTTGAAAACAAAAGTTGGAGCTTGAGGAAGTTAGTGGCCTTCATTGGCAAAGTCTCTATAGATTGGGTGTTAGTGCATCCAGAATTCGCTCAAGTCGAGAAAGAGGACTTCAGGGATGGGTTGTGGGTGGTTTTAGAGTTACAAAGCTGTGATATTGACCAATGCTCTGAAAACCGTAATCATATCATAAATTGTAAAGAGGTTTGAATCAAATTTGTATGGTAAATCATAAGGTTTTTTCTGATTATTCTAAAAGTTGTCAAAAAACTATAAAAAATACCTAAGCCTCTCAAAAGAATAGAAAAAATGATATGGTACTAATTTTCTAACTATAGATATGATATAAGTATAATGAACCTATGATCTTACAAATCTACAATACTACTAATCTACTATTGAATGTTTAGTTATCCTGTGATCTTATCTCCAAGTTTTTAAGGGAGAAGAATTATAATGTTATCTAATCCCTAATTCCCTATAGTTTCAACTTCAAGTTTCAATAATTTAAGTCAAGCATGCAATTCATGAGAAATACTAAAATAAGAGAGAGAGAGAGAGATGCTTGCTCAGCCTAATACACATCCAAGAACATGATAATTCAACAAAATAACACCATTATAAAGACTTATTTGAGGAGTTAACAAATTATAAGCCAAACCATGTCCATCAAACTAGCATAAAGAAGACGCACACTACCACACCAGAACTAACAAAGAAATCTTCAGAGTTTCAGTCTTTCAGAATTCAAACACAAATACCTTACCAAAACAACGTGGAGCAGCGCTCCTGTTTTCATGTCAAAAAAGACTTAAAAACCATGGAGTATTTTGCATAAAAAAGAGGATGAAAAAACAATAGGGCGGAGCCCCTGTTTGTGTTAAAAAAATGGGAGAAAATGAGGAGCAGACCCTGTTTAGCATAAGAAAAGGAGTGAAAAAAAAAGCAGGGTGGAACTCCTGTTTTTATGTTAAAACAGCTGAAAACACAATGGAGCAAAGCTCTTGTTTCACATTACAAAAGTAGGTGATAAAGATAAGGTGGAGCCCCTAATTAGTGGCAAATAAAAATTGGAAAAGAATGAGAGTGGCCCTTGTTTTGTATCAGAAAAAAGACAAACAATAAGAGGTCGGAGCCCCTGTTTGAAATGATTTCTTTTCTGGCTATTCAGAACTGATATGGTCATTAACTCCTAAATACAACTAGTGTGCCTAGAGCCAATTGATAATTTTATTTATTCAGGTTAAATACTTCCCAACTCCACCTAACCACCTTTTTTCCAATCAATAGCCATGAATGTTAGTTCCCTACAATGGAAAGCATGGAGCAAGGCTACCCAGCAGCATTCAAAATATCGATACAATACAACCCATATTGAGCGTATCGTATTGGTGTCCAATGGGAATGGCATGGGGCGTGCTATGACTGGATACATTAGCAGTCATTTGTAGTGTGCTGGTAGTGTAGTATTGGTTGTATCATACCGTATCACGCTGTGTCCACTGATATGCAACAATACAGCATGATATGTATAGGGCACTGACACGTCTTTAATTCCTCTACCAAAAAATTGTAGGCAGTGTGACTCAAACGCAAGTCACCTGTCGCTCGAACATTGAATACACCTTCCAAGCCTCAATCTCAAGCCATTAACTATCTTCCATTGGTGTGTTAAAAAGTGAAATATAATAAAATTTATTTTTAATACATACAATATTCAAAATCAGCCTTTTATAAAAGGGAAAAATCTATGCTACTGGAAAAACATGGTAATGGAAGAGCTTTGACCAATAATCAATCAAAGCACCCCCATGAATTTTGATGAATACCACCTAATTAGTCATGTCTTGTATGATATTGGTTGATTAGTCAAACCCATTATAGACATTTTTGATATCATAGTCAAACCCATTATAGACATTATTAGAATAAATGATTTATCAAATCCACAATTTTTAAAAGAATGATTTTTAATCTCAAAAAATCATAGAAATAAAAATCTAATAATAGAATAATTATTTTAGTAATGAAAATTTATGAATTTACACATGATATGCATCTTAGAACTTTTACATATTTTTATAAATTGTTATTAATATTTTAATTCACACTGAATAACAACATTTATTATTTACAAAAATGAAAATATTGTTTATCACACATTTGAGAAGTTAATATTTAGTTGATTTCTTATTTGTTAATGCTAAAAATAAAAAATAGTAAATAAAAATAGTTGATATAATAATTAAACTATAATAGTTGCTTATGTCTTATGTCTTGGATTTAATAGAAAATAACATAAAAATGGCTTTCTGCATGTACTAATTTGTAAACATCTATATAATTTACAAATTGATGGATCAATAAAATTATATAATATCTATGCATCCCGTATATTAATTGTAATATATTTTTTTTATATATATCATTAAAATAGATATTTCATATGTATTTATGCTTTATTTATGGATATTTTAGCCTTAAATTTAGTGTAAATAATGCATATAGGATTTATATGTGTTTCCCTAATATATCCAAGCATATCCATATCTTTGGTCTATATCCATGTGTTTCCAAAGCATATCCATATCCAAGCAGTTTGATACGATACACAATACCGATACTTCAATCCTTGAAGCCACCTATGCTCCATATAGGGGGTTAAGCAGGAAGAAACAAAGATCTCAGCCAACAAGATACACAACTCCGGGATGGTCGTCCAGTATAACAGCTTTCTCCTTGGTTCATTCTCTTCCCTTATAAACTTGGAGATGTTGCTAAAAATAATGAAATCTTCCTGTTTCAGAGGTACCTGACCTCTATTGGGTTTTGTTTGCCTCAGTGTATAAGTAAGTCATGATGACAAAGTTCTGCTGATAGATCACTTGGAATCTAAACATATTGTATCACTCTAGGAATCTGTGCATAATTTCTGGTTAGATTGAAGGGTGTCGGTTTATAATTTCATTGATGAGACATTGCTTGCAGGTTTGCTAATGCTCCAGAATCTGCTCGAATGGATTGGTCATCATTCACCAAGGGTTATTTTCTTAACAGAGATACTTTGGTTTCTGTCTTACTACTGATTGATGCTAGTATTCCTCCTCAGAAGATTGACCTGGATTGTGCTAATTGGCTTGGCCGCAACAATGTATGTCCTCCCTTGTAACTTAAATTTAAAACTTCTCTTTTTTTCTGCCTTTTCCGTCTCTCTCTCTCTCTCTTTTATGTTTCCCTCTTAATTTGCAGTGTGGGAATTCTTATAACTCAAACGTTGGGGCACAAGTTGTATTCCTCTTCTCCCTCTCTTATGGTTTGCCTTTCGTGTAATATTTTAGATCCCATTGACTTTTGTCTTCACCAAGTGTGACAAAGTGAAGAAAAGTAAAGGAAAGCGGCCTGATGAGAACATTAAGGATTTTCAAGAACTTATCAGAAAAAACTATCAGGAACCTCCTCCATGGATCATGACAAGCAGCGTGACTGGCTTGGGCAGGAACGAACTGCTGCTTCATATGTCCCAGCTAAGAAATTACTGGGATAATTAGTGATAGATTCATTTCTGAGATGTAACATATCATGTAAATTTATTCCATAAGCTGGGGATTGACGTAGCAGTATATATCTTCACAGTTTTTGATATTGCAGAGGCTCATGTGCATAAAAGTTTCTAATTGGCTCATACTTCGATGTCTTTAGCAGTTTTTGCCTTTTTGGTATGGTGTATCATCTTTGTGCATATGGCAAAAGGGTGCAATGCTTTCTTTGAGCACCTTGTACATTTCTTCTAGCCCATTTTTAAGAGGTTCCAGTAATCTCTAGATTTATGTTGTTATAGTGGTTTAGGCCATTTTTGGTTTGCTGCCATGGGCCTCATTTTTTTCAATTCTTACTCATTTTGAATAAGAATGGGCAAGAATGAATAACACTATGGTGTTTGCTAATAAAATTCTTGCCATGGGCCTCATTTTTTTAGAATGAAAAGTGGGCCTTGCAACCTGCAGCACCATACATAATTGTGTCGCAGGCTGTCCATTCTCATTTTGCGCTCTCTCACTCTGCAGTGATTCTCTGCTGCTGTTGGTGATCCCTTCAACCTTTGAACTCTCTCGATATCCTCTTGACAATCTGACATGAATCAAATGAGTATCCTCAATGGCCAAACTCTCTCGGCAAAATTTCCAATTTTCTCTATTAGATGTATATCTTCCCTCTCCCTCCTTGAAATCCCATCAGCATATCTTTTAACCCAGTTGACTACCTTAGTGATCCAATCAGAACGCAAAATCCCACATTGGGATAGGTCAAATCAATTCATTCACACTTCATCAAAATGTCCCTTATTTAGTCTGATGTCTTAGTTGCCAACTCTGTTAATATTGAATACTATTGTAAATGTGCAGCAATGGACGATTCCATCTGATTGTTTGATGAAATCCCTTTGTCCAAATGCTATCATTTCAGGAGCCAAAGCCTGAAACATGGGGATTCCTGAAGAATCTTCTATAGACTGCTTTCTTCTTAGTCTGTTCCCAATCAGTTCACTTATGGGACTATGCTTTCAGCATGTACTGCCTCTGGTTTTTTTTTTTTTTTCTGGTCACCAGATCTGTTCTCACGTGATAAGAATGGGTATTTTACTGATGGATATGCTTGGACTGGAATGGTAGACTTGTCTTCAAAATGTAGGAGTTTCAAACATGCCTTGACTGTATTTCAAGATGTTTTATGTGAGAATGTGTATGCTGGAATGCCATAAACGCTGGAATGCCTTGCTTTAAATATTTTTTACCAAATGTTAGGTGGGTTCTTGATGCCAAACAGCTACATTTTCAAGCATTTTGACAACTTGTAATGCACTTGGAGAACTAAGGATTGGCAAAGGGTTCATGGGTGGGTGGTCAAATGTGGTGCAAATGCCTTTGTGGGAATTGCTATGATCTTTATGCCAAGTGTGGTGATATTGATGAAGTTGTGAATGAATTTTCATGTAGTTTATTGGACTGCGATAATTTCTGGGTTTGTTCAGAAAGATGATTACATTTTTGCTCTAAAGTTCTTCAGAGAAATGAGAGTATTTACCTACAAAATGAGTATGGTAGGTTAAAATTGTCGAATGTAATCAAACGGGTCAAAATTTGTTCTCATTCTTGCTACAAAAAAGAATTCATTTTTTAAGAAAAAAATGTTTGATTCATAGCAATATTTTCTCATTCTGTCCATTTTTACTAAATACTAATTCTTTGTCATCTTAGAATTTCAGATAGGAATGGGAAATAATGAGAGTTAAACCAAAAATGGCCTGACGTAATGGCAAACCCACTTTTGTCTTATGGTTGCGTAACCTACTACCAAAATAGTAGGAATCAAGGTTCAAAGTTTCGATATGCCATGTTCTTGCCTATGTTTCAGAGGGGTGCCACACTTGCAAAAGAAAATACAGTTTTGAAATTAATTTAGGATATCAGTAGAAAGGCTATTGCACTTCATAGGGTTGCATTTTGATGGCCCTGAAAACTGATACATATGCCGGATACACCCTCTATTATTTCGATAATTTGAACCTTGGCAGGAATCCCGTTAAACTAGAGAATCAAGACTTTATTTTGGGTAAAGAACTAGAGAGTCAGCACAAGTGACTTTTTATGCGAAGTCCACTAACGGATCTCATAATTCTACCCACAAAACACTACACTCTTGAATTAGGAACATCTCTCCATGCATAATAACATACAAGCACAGGAGATGTTCCCTATGTGGGAATGTGATGTCATGTCGGTAGAAAATCCAAGCTCATTGCAGGATACTTCCCGGACTTGCTTGAGGTGGAAAGGATCAACAAGTATTGTGTTTTGGGCTGTGTTGGTTGCATACGATATAAAGGTGGAAATGGAACGTCAATATCTTAAAGGGATTCCACCGTTCTCATTATCAATGCGAGTTCAGATCTGCGCCCCACAACATCCCACAGCGCATCGGGTCTGGTATTATCATTGGGAGATGTTCCCAATACATGGCGGGGAGCTGGGAATGCGCTGTGGGACATTGTGGGGCACAGATGTGAACTCTATCAATGCATATTCGACCAATATCCATCAATACGATTCATATATTTTGATAGACTGATATGGACTGATACACATTCATTGATAGTCAATACCTTATGAATAAATTTCCATGCATGTTGGTAATGAATTGGTATACACATTGAAATGGTTGATGAAACAGAAGAAAACTTTCGTAACTAGAGGTTGCAGTCTTTCAATTTTGACGGTGCCTATAGAGAAAATCTGGGCCTTACTGGTGGAGGGGGCTTGATCAGCTACCATGGTAATCGGTTCATTGCGGGGTTTGCAAAATTTTCTGGTCACAGCAATAATATGATGGTGAAGGCAAATGCTCTTACTGATGTACTTTTTTGGTAGAACAAGAATTGTGCTACACAAGGCGAGGGGTAGCAAGCCCCCACAAATCACAAAAACAAATATTTGCAAGATCGCAAGGCAACCCCATCACTGAAAACCATGAACCCAATAGAGTCGCATGAGTCAACCAAACAAAGTTTAGCTGAATGATTTAGCTGTTCAGCGAGCTGTGGAACCAATGATAAGGTTCCACACCAGTATTAAATACATAGGGTCCTCATCTTTTACAGTGGGGCCCATGAATTTATTATGGCGTGGAACCTCATCACTGGTTCCACAGCCCGCTGAACAGTTAAAGCGTTCAGCTAATCCTTATTCGAGTCAACCGGTATCTAGAAGTGTGCCAATGCACCAATCCAGAAGTGCGTTAAAACACCTTTGTCCAGAAGTGCGCCAATGCACAATCACTCGTCCATGGGAGGTCCACCTTCTTCCTTAAGTAGTCAATAACCAGCTTGGAATCTCCTTTAATGACAATTAGATGGTTCCTAAAATTGAGCACAAGATTATGGGCCTCCCAAACAGTCCAAGCTTTGGCAAGATTTATTATGTTGAATCAGCATAGGCTTTCAAATCAAGGACTTCATCCAAATGGTTCCTAGTTATACAAGAAATGGTGCAAAAGCCATTAGTGCCCCAAGATGCATCAAAATTGCTCATAACTTCTCCACAATGAAGGTTCATTGGATCTTCATAACGGATTTACCCCTGAGGAGACCCACCACAAATAAAACTAACTTTGAGGCCCACAAAATATTGACAAGCTCTCTTAACAAGAATGGGAGGAGAAGAAATTTTGTTGTTAAATTGTTTGCCATTTTTATTTATCCATACAAACCAAAGAATAATCACACTCTAGCAAGAGGCTTATTTTGCTTGTAAATCTACTAAAGAAATATCCTTGAGCAGGTAAGTGTTCAACTTATTGAACACCATCAAGGTCTTGTTGGCACCTCTATTAAGCCTAATTACAAGGTCTTGTAGGCACCTGGAACTCCTGTTGGTTCAGGTTAGATTGTCACTGTGAAGTTCAATTGAGTTCAGGTATTGTAGGCATCCATAAAGTCCTGTTGGTTGTAAAGGCTTGATTGGTGCCTGAGAAATCCAATCGATTAGTGGAAATCCTTAACGATGGTATGAGGTAAAGGACATAGGCAAGGTTGGTTGGACTTCTATAAAAATTTTGTGTGCCTTGTTTGTTTTCTTTTATCTTTAAGCTTTGTAGTTTATTTTTCTATCCTAACATTCTTATAACTGCAATAACTTGATTCCTTGAGTTCATGCAAATCTTGTTTTATTTTGTCTTTCTTTCTTTTCATTTACAAAATACAAGGTCATTTAGTGCAGTTCATGACCTACTAACCTTACTAATTACACTAACTCTCTGGTTCAATAATCTGGGCTTTATCTTCTAATTTCTTACAATTGCTAACCATTTATTCTAACTACTTTAACATTACTTTTATTGTTACTTATCTTTACTAGGCATTTATTATTCAATAGTATTTACATTTTTGCAATTAGATCTGTCCTTGAGATTTTGGTCGAAACTAACCATTTCTTGAATCTTAAGTTGATACACTCAGGTGGTTGGTTCTTGTCTCAACTATTATATTCTAGCAAGTCCTCTCTTCTACCTTTAGTAGTTGGTCCTCTCTTTCTAAATGCTAAGGCACACACCACATGTGTAGCTACCATTTACTTTATTGTTCATTTACTTTCAATTGCTCTTTTAAAATTCTATAGTTATTTATATCCTGAGTTTATATTTACTTGTTTAACTATAGAATCACTAACTAGATAGTAGGTTGCAGATTCTTATTACTTAATTTATTTTCAATTGCTATCATTTTGTTAGTATTGATCTTTGTTATTATTGTTTATACTTGTTGATTGCTAACCCCTATAACTCCAACTATTATATTGCTTGATTATTTTTGTAGTTATAGATTTGTTGTTCGGTAGTTGTGCTAATCAGGGAGTAACCTTTTGATTAAATATTAAACTAAACTAAGCCTTCATTTTGCTGCATCTTGATTTTCATTTTCAAGAAGGCTTAGCTTCAATTTTAGGGGAAGGGTTTTGAGCTTGACTGATTAACTATCAAAGAATCAAATTTGAATTCAAAGAACTTTTTAAAAGTTCTACCCAAGTCACTCCCTCTTAGGTTAGAGCATTAGTCCAGACAAGTGTTATTAAAGCAAGTTCACCTATTTATAAGTTTAACAACTTGGTGAACAAATGTCTACCCAAGATAGTGTTCCATTGCCGAGGAA